TTTTTAAAGTTTTGAAATGTGAATTAGGCAAATTTAGAAAATTGGTTTAAGGATGATATTTAAAAAGGAAAAAAACAGAACTTCTAATGTTTCGTCATAAAGCAAATACATGTTATGCATTAGAAAGTGTTAAAAGAAAGAATAACAAGCGAAATCAACCCAAGTGACAATTATATCAATACCATGATTGTCACAGTTTAATCATCAGTTAATAAAGTGTAGAATTACGAAATGATTTCACTTATTTGTAAATCGTATTCGAGTAATTTTAGACCACTTACAGTATTTGATACAGCAGGTCTATAACCGAGAATACTGATGTCAGTGTGTTGAAATGACAGTGAATTTTGGAGCACGTATAAAATCAATCTACTTGATCCGTGCTAAAAACGGATGTATGACTTACGTTTCTAAAAAAAGCCGAGAAACTACACTTTTATAGTATTAAGAAAACAAAATTTATTCGAACACTTCAAGATTTTCTAAAAGTCAGTCTGCTGAATGATCATTTCTCACTACAATAATAAGTATTTGAACAAACGGGATAATTAGCTGATTTACTGAAACTTCTATAGCGCAAAACCTCTGACAACGACAGATGCATTTTTATAAATAGTCGAATACTGTGTTTTGTAGTGTGTACGATATTAAGAAACGCAATCTAGCTAAAATGGTAAATTATATAAGTCACATTTCAACTACAACAATAATGACATTGATATAAATACTAGTAGGAATATGAAGGATAAATCTTCAACTACCTACTATATCTTAGAAATGTAACCGAGATGATGAAGAGTTGTGGTTCAGGAGGACGATTTAGGTAAAGTTGAGTTCGTTGGAATTGGTGGTGTAACTTGTAGACGTATTACCAAATCTTAGTGTACGCTTAGATGGACACGGACCAACAATCAAACAAATTTATAACAATGTTGCGAATAATTTCAAGCTTCCGATAAGTCACTTGCATAATTAGTGTTTATTTTATTAGAACTAAATTAAAAGTAAAAAAGAGTAACTTCAGGCACTACATTTAAATATCCCATTCTTGAAATTAATAACCAAGTTACATAGAACTTAACCTATCAAGAACTTATAACCATTACAAAATTCACAGTTAACGTCACCTTCTAAAAGGCCGTATCAGTTACCCTTCAGTGTTTATTGTAGTCCCATACTTTTTACCAAAATTTCTGTTGATCTTTACCGATTTTTAATTATTTATTTGGAGGATTAATTTGTATTCAACTTGAAATCATCGTACAGTGAACCACATAATAAATCAATATGTTATCGCAAAGTATTTTTACAGATTGTTCACTTTCTTACTAGATAAAAGCTATTATATCAGTCAAGTTTCCATTAAATATAAATACGCTTCTTAAAAAAACAGAAGATATACTTGTCCATATAGATATTTTATTGATACCTTTAACAGTACTTTTTCAAACACCTTATCGTAGAATATACCTGATGGAATTGTTAAAACTTGTGACACTTTTACTTAGTTGTACCAACATTACTAATGATCCAAAAGTACAATTAATAACATAGTTTCCAAGCATAAGCATTATCCTTATCAAGAAATACATATGCGTTTTTTTAAACGTGATGACTACTTAATGCTCAAAAATACGATGAATGCCTACGTCTGTCTAGTCTACCCGAGTGCAGTTTAGCACCACACTAATGAAGACCTTATGTGTCATCAGACAGTAAATTATAACATAAGTATCGAATGATATAAAACGCTCAGGAATCCCAACGTGATCGCCAACTTTATGGTTCAGGTATTTCCAACTGATGAGTCTCAAACAAGATGAAACGACTTGATTCCTGTTAGGATGTGCAGAAAAATATCCAAATAATTATCATGTTAAGTCTAATGGTGGCCTTGGACTTTAAATGTACACTCCCTATTGGTCAGCATTTATTTCACTTGTTAAATATTGTACAAATAATGTTTTCTATTTTATGGTACGATGTGGTTTGTTTGTTTGGTATATAAACATAGTATGTTTGAAATATAATGATTCACAACTCAAAGGGTAAGGCTTGTGTTCTGGACTCAACTAGCTGGGCTAGACAGCGAAGCAGGGCCAATCGGGACTCTAGGTCGTTCATACGTGTTTACATGTCATTGGTTTGGTCGATAATAATATACGCTGCTCCATAATCTGCAGTCACGTTACAACAATCCCACTGATAGCCGATATCTGACCATGCTTAAAAATACTTGCGTCCTAATGATAATATCAAGGCGTTCCCTTCGTTTTATATATATATATATATATATATATATATATATATATATATATATATATATATATATATATATATATATATATATATATATATATATATATATAATAAAATGGTTTTAAAAACTCAAGAAATAATTGTAATATCCCAAAGAGTAGAAACGTAAATGTTTGACATCTCGTAATTTTTTTTGGTCGTTGGATGTATTTGGCGGAAAAACCTAGGTTACGTGTTATATGAAACTCTTCAGTAGCATGTATCTACAGTCTTGAAGGAAGTAACGCTCCCCCGCAGGATCCGATCCTTTGTCACCCAGCTTCACAGCTCAAAACGTCACCGAAAAGCCAACCAGTTTGTGACTAACCTACTGTCGGACTGGGATTTTTACAAATGACTGGTAATTGAGTAGTAACCAATGTCACTTGTATTTAGTCCCTAAACGTTGATCGAACTCGTAAACTTAAAAGTTACTTAGGAGAATAGGTTTTTTCACATTTGTTTTCTAAATTTGGTAGAATTTTTGACCACATTGACAGAAAAACACAAAGTGAAATGTTAAATTATAAACAGAAACTACGTGACAAATTAAGGAAAGACGAATTCCAGCTGGCATGAAATAAAAATGTAAAATATAGCAGGAAGAAAAATTAGATCAACTGACAATCAAATATTTTATGAAGGATTCTGAACACTTCGCATCAGTATTACTTCAGAACAACTTTTGGACACAGTTTCCTTACTATGTAGAGATGGTATAATAAGACTAGGATTATGTTTCCTACTATCTATATTTCTCATCGTTTCATTTAAGTTATTGATTGTCAATTACTGATAATACAACAGTTTGTTTAGATCATAATGTCAACTTACTGGTGTAAATATACATTGTTCACTGACTGTGGTTCATAAAATACACGTGATTCTGTTCGCTCTCTGTGTTCTCTAGTATTGCTGCCCACTTACTAGGTTTATGACGAACCTGTTATATTTGAAGGCTGTACCCTAAACATTTGTCTGATAGATGTATTGTCGAGACATTTACTCATAATACTAATTTTGGACGTAATATCTTGTGTATAGAAACTTTTGGATATGTTGGACACTGATATACAACATTTGCACACTAATACCTATGTAACTATTTTTCTTTGGTTTCAGATTTTTTCCGACAATCCGCATATTCTGCAAATTTATTATATTGTCTGACTCCTTTTAGCGATAAAAAGTTTTCATTTAAACTATTCGATTGGTTTTATCTTTCGTAGATTTAATCAATAACTAAACCTATGGAGCTTTGTCCATATCTTTTCTCACTCAAGTTTCCAACCAGGTTATCTTTATGTAAGAACTGTAACAAATTTGTGTGGGTTGATTGTGAAGGGTTCAAAGATAGGACATATGTTATCAATCTTCTTGGAAAGCAACTAGTGAACAGTTTTGCACTAAGTACTTGAAGTCAAACCTATTTCATTGTATGATAACGTAGATCACACTTTTTACGGAATAAATATGCATGTCCAAAGACCCTAAAACCCCATCAAATTCTCATAAGGTAATTCCCAATTCATTATTTCTGTCTTTGATATTAGCTATTCTGGATACTGGAAAGCTAAAAAGTGTATCTCTTGAAATTCAAACTTCCCATACGTTATACGTATAAAGTAAAAGAATTTTAGCAGTTCGGTTCTAACCGTACTCAGATTTATTCTACTATATATCAACTATACTAAGTACTTAGAGTAGTAGAACGTAACCTTATAGCTCAAAATATATTGAGACTTAATGACTTCACGACAACAGGTGAGTATATTAACAGATAAAAACTTCATAAGAGCTAATATATCACTTTACTATCTTGCCTTACTTTAGGATGCCTGAGTTATATAGCCCTTTCTGAGTGCAAGTATGTAGTTTAAACCTTAGCCCACTAAACATGACCCTAATTTCAAATAACCTGAATAACAGAGTTAATAATGACGCCAAAACTTACATGTTATGTTTAGGAATACCAATTACGAATACAAAGAAATAAAAATTGGTATAAATCTCACTCGCACTGAGTTTCCACAGACCTCATCAATATTAGTAAAAGAGACAAACACATAACCTTAACGAACCAACTCTTAGATTTCAAAAGCTTACCTTTCGGACTGAGTCATGCACTTTTTTACAAGTTTTCCAAATCCTTATTATTCTTACATCTAACTGCATAAGGCAGTTCAAATGTGAAAACATGAAAACTAAACCAAACACCAGAGCACATCTCTTTAAGCTATCATAGTTTACTACAGAACAAGTCTAGTAGCATAGAGGCAACAAGGTAAATGACAGGTAACGAGAAATTTAATACAATTTGATAAATTAATGCATTCAACCTACTACGGTCGGTTTTAAGCATTCTGTCTGTAGTCTTTTAATACTAACTTTACTTTCGTAAAGACTCGGAATAATGCAAAGTAATTACGCTGTCATATTCGGCTTTCCCAAATGTAATCCTACTTCAGTAAACATTATACATCACGGTGAACAGTAACAGTATTACACACTAGTCAGTTAATTCATTTGATCTAGATTCATAATTTTAGTTACGGGATTTGTCTTTCAATTAACGTTGTAATTGATTTCAGATTGTTTGACGCTGAAACGACCATATCATGAACGACAGTTAAATCATCTAATCTTTATAAGTTAATATTTTCGAAAATGATGTTTAGTAGAAATGAATCTAAAATACAATGGTAAGGAGTGATCAAATCCTGTAGAATAGTAGTGACAAGCAGTATAAGACGGGATAAGTCATTTTTCATCTCATTTATATAACCTGCACAATACATCATGAAAATCTAAAGAACACAAAGTTATGTAGGGTTTGAAATTAAGGCTGAATTTAAAAGTAGATTTAGTGAATATACATGTCTCTTAAGATTATGAGGTAGATTCCCTACACCTATTATTTTTTGTTGAAAATAAAATATGATAAGCTCTGATTGCATACCGAACTAAAAAGACAAACATTAAAAACAACTTATAACATCTGAATATGAGAAAACCTTTATTAACCGAACACAAATGAAACACGGCAAAATCTAGTTTTAAGTTTATCATTCAGTATTACCAAAAGTTTTCACGGTTTAAATCACGTACAACAATTATAACACAGAAATTAAAATGAAATCCCATGTATGAATAAGTTATAAAAGCATTTAAAATAAACTAATAAAAGAATAGTTTTAAATGCCAGAAATAGAGATTGTTTATCAGTAGTTCCCAAATACGAAATTAAAAGTAAACTACCGGCAAAATATTAGCTTCATGAAATCATATTGACTTTACTAGAATATATTACTGAAAACAAAATCAAATGCGACTATTAGGTTCGTTATTGAATCGCCAGAAATGAAGAGTATGAAGCCAGGTTGTTTCTGTAAAAGTCAAATCTAATTAACTAATGAATCAAATACACGCATGACGAATGAAGCAAACTTTGCGGTATACGAATAATCAAATGTTAAAATCGAAATCCCCACTATTGTATGAATTACTGGCATAGCATAGAACGAGAGCAGATCAACTCATATCCGTAGAACAATTAACTATTTTAATTATTTCAGAAGCATTAGACTGGAGCCATGGTCTTTGCCATACAGTGACTTTGCAAATCTTACTCTGAATAGAAAATAAACAGCATTAACATAAATGAAAATACCTCTCCACCAGTTACATTACAAGAATTCTGATTTAAAAAAATGTCATCCAAAACATCTAAGATGCACATATTAGTAAAGGGTGTTAATTATCTTACGAGTGTTGCCGTTGGCAAAAGTTGTGCACGATGTAGGGGAAAACTTAACGTGGAATGTATATAAAACCCCCTGAACGACCTGTGAAAAATGGTAACTTGCAAAGATAGAACCTCACCTGGGAAGTCACATTCACCAACTGAGTTATGATATGAAGGCTGCTCTTTCCATGCTCGGAGTTGAATTTATGGGCTACCTTAACCAGCTCATGATTAAATTTTTCTATGGTCGCCTCGTTCGGTTTCAATTTTCTGGGTGCCCCAAACATCTCTGCATCTCCTAAAGTAAGGAGAACAGCAGCAGATACTACAAAAAGGTAACAAAGTGGACTCATTTGTCAACGCAACGACGGTGACCTTCACAGTTTACAATAAGCGGCTTTTGCTTTCAGTTCTCAGTATTCGGTTTTAAGGAAGGGCCTGTATTCATCCTAGCAACTCGTGTTGCAGTAAAGATATGATGTTTGTGCTGACTGATGACTTCTTTCAACGTGATTGCGCACTTTTCAAGAATTCCAAATATAACTCGTTCAGTTGTGTTCGTTTACTTTCGGGTTAAATTGCATTATCTCGGAAATTCTTAGTTAGCACATCAATTCAAATACTTGTAATTATCATAGAAGGTTCAGTCTATACCTGAAAATGTCTCCTGATGAGACTGGAACCATTTGTTCAGGTAAGACTTTTCAGTTATTGACCACTCGATGAGAAAAACGAAATCCCATTATAAGTTTATTAGTTCACGGCTTTCGGACCCTCTTGATGTAACGTTAACTATGATTAGTTCTGTAAGTAGCATAATAATAAGACATTCAAACACCCAAATCATCATTTAAATACACGAAATACCAGTACAAGGTCACCTCGCGTTCCACGACAAATGGGAGCGGTCGGAATGTTTTTAGCGACAAACACTTAAGTGCGTCAGCATCCTTGATGGGACAACTATCGGCTGCTTGGATTCAGTAATGTTAGTGTCGTCGCACACAGAGAGAGTACAAAATCCAAATCAGTAGTTTTGATACGATTGAGAATTCTCAGCACAATGCATTTCAACAAGATTCTTTACGAAAAAGAAAACATATGAAAGAAACTGGTGACTTCATAAATTTATACATAAGTGGATAATTTACCTGGAATTGAAGGGACGGTTTTTTTGAAGATTTAGGTTGGTACAACTTTTTAATTAAGAACATGTCTAAATATACTAGTTGTTGACTAGGTCAACTTTAACAACCTGTTCATCACAGTATATTGGCTAGATAGGATATTGTAGGACTTTTATACTTTTGCTTGCGTGCATGGATTCTAATGTATAAATGTCTCGTTCTACCATAAGATATACAAGGAGAGAGATGTAGATAAGGCGGATGCTTAGTATTTGATGCGTTATCACTTTTGGGAATGTCGCAAAACCTTAGATCCCCATTCACAATCATATTATTAATTACCTCAAAACATTCGTTACTGCCTTTAGCACTCTCCACAATACTGCAAAATGTTGTCTTAAAACCCGAGAAAAAACAATGAAGAACAGTAAATAATAATGAGTAATATGCGAGAATCGACAGATTTTGAAAATAAATCTAGAGTAATCTCAAGAAGCATGCAGCTTTTCTTTGTAGTTTGCTAGTCAGAGGATTTTTTGACGACAATAAAACGTGAGTAGACAAAGATATATCAGAAGAAAAACTTACACCAAGGTAAACGACATTTGACTCTATGTTTACCAAAGAATCTTCAATGATACAAGCTTCGTGGGGTTTCAACGAGATGTTTAGGTTCTACTCACTTCTCAGGCTTAAATTAACGGTTCGAATTTTAGAAGGGCTAAACATAAAACCACGAATAGCAAGCCACCATTCGATACGAGACAAGAACTCATTCGTTTCGAGGGGATGTTAACAAACGTTTTTTCTGTTCAAGATGGCAGATCACATAGAAAAAAGGAAAAGAACAACTCCTTGTAGCACTTCTACGAGAAACAACAGAGACCTCGAACACTCCTCCAAACACAATATATTGTTCTCTTCTAAAGGATTAGGAAAATGGCCAGCTGGTTATCTAGCTGTCTGTGTTGGCGCCAATTATTTGGTTAAGTTGATATTATCTTGGAATAGAATGAAAGGTATAATCATTTTCCACATAAGCGCCTTGAGCGTAATCGCTACCCTTTTCCACCTCAACACAATATTTTGATTCAGAACAACAGGAGCATATGAGGTGCTTCTTTTGCATCTTTAAGTGATCTCATCAGAATCAATGTGCACTTTTACAGCAGTAAGTGCCAATAATTTTTGGAGAAGTTGAAGTTATTGTTGTTGGTCTTCACTTCACATTTTAATCGCCAGATGCTTTCATAGGCATTGGGATAATCGTTATCTTTCTCCACATTTTCAGTATGAGGTTGGTTGGGAAGGATTTATTAATTATTCTAGTCTTAAACATTGTAACGAGTTACGTGACTGGAATCAGTTTCAAATATGTGTTTCAGTGGAAATCAAAACGTAACGACTCTTAAAACCTGTGGATTTAGGGAGCATGACATCGAATGACTGACGTGTAAGACACATATTTAAGTCCTAAACATTCGGCTGGTTGTCGCTCCCAATGTGTCTTTCGCTCGTATGTCTTTTAAATGATCCCCAAATACGTGAATAGTTTTTACAGGATAATAACTTTTCAGCAAACATCAGTTTTGGAAGTCTGATTTCTAAGTTTATTAAACCATTTAGCTTCAGAAATTTTGTGTAGTCTTTCACCCTGTACAATCATTCTTTACCCTCTCTTCTGTAATCGTTTCAGTTGTAGAAATGCAAGTCAGTCAAAACTTACAAAATTAGCTCCAGTGGGACAACAAACATTAAAACAGAAATTAAGATAACAAATGATGTTGTCAAGTGAGTTATTCGCGAATAACTTCCAGTGAGTCGTATGAAATACGTCTTTGAGATTTTGAATATTTTCATCTGAGTAATTCCTGTGTTTGACATTCTTTGTTTAATGTAAGAGTGTACTATTTCCGCGATTTCCATAAACCTTAGAACAAAAAATATACAGTGATTCGAGCTAGACAGTGGAGCACGTTTACGGCTCACATATGTACCCACATCATTAATGAGAATGAAGTTTAAGTAGGCATCCAAACGAGTGGGAGAATCTCCTACATATTGGTGACCTAGTGACGAAAGAAAGCTACAGTCACGTGAATTAAAATTACTACATATAACTGGAAATGTAGTGCTGAACTCAGTATCGGCAAATTCAAGTAACTCATGGGCGAAATCACACCGCAGATGATGTGCAGTTTGAAGTTACGTAAATGTTTTTAAGACAAACATTTTATCAAGTGTTTTGGTTGGCAACGTAAAGCTGAACATTCGACAGTCGTTTGTAAGCTTGAAAAATGCTAAAACATATCGATCACATTTACAAAAGTAACCACAACGACCCTCACACATTTTCTCATTGTTCGGTCGATCCCAGTAATAGATATTGAAATCTTATAGTGATACTAATCAGTCATCTTGTAGATCATTTAATCGAGGTCCTTGGCTTGTGATCACACCACAGTTACGATATATGGTTTGACTTAGTAGAAATAAATGATAGTTCATCTTGCAACTTGGTAACCGGCAGTTAGTACTTGGCAGTTCATGAATCATCATTTGATTGTCGTTCATTTTTTTCAATACATATTTTTAGCAACCACGATGTCTCTGATTGTACTTATTGTACCTTGAAAGGTGATAGATCGTCATATATGCGCCTAAATTGATTATGCAATTAATAGACATGATAATGTGTCAAAATGAAATAAAGATAACTTGTCTAAACACTCCGATGGGAGGGACGGATAGCCCGAATTTTCAAACAGCCTGCCACCGTCGATGATAAGATTTATATCTGTTTTGAAAAGAGGGGATGAAACGATCTTCTGGACTTTAAGATGACTCCGTGCTTACGTTTATGAGTGAGTTAAGAACATTTCTGGTGTGACTGCCCAATATTGTTCTCGCATGAAATGCAAGAGCGATTGAGTTTCTGAAATCATCAGCCATTTAGTTGGAGGCCATGAGATTAGATGGTTCAATATGAAAGCCGAACTTTGGAATTTAGGGAAGAAGAGAAGTAAAAAAATAAGGGTATGTGAATCAGTTAAAGAGAACGAAACAAGAACGCAAGAACAAACAAATATGAGGATGTAACAAGGAGAAAAAGATATATATATCAACGATGATGATAACAATAATATGATAGTCTAGATAGTAATAGATGTGATAATATGCAAAATAATATTGATAATTTGAAATACATGTATTATACCGGATAAAAGGTGTGGAAATGTCCTTCCTTACACGTACATATAATCAGCCGCTGCCCTACGCTAAAGACGACAATGCACAAGTAGCTAAATGAGTGTTAAGTTGTTTTTTGAAGCTTTCTTCTTAGTGGAATGTATTCATGCTGACTAAAAGCATAATCTGCGTGGGACTCGGATAATAGTTACAAAAAATACGACGCTAACATGATGGTTTCCATTCAACATGAAATCTTTACTGGATTATCTGCCGAGATATGATAGCTGTGTGAAAGCGGAAATTTTCGCCAAGTTGACCTGGGGCACGATACGCATTTCCACGAAGTTGCTCAGTTAGAGGTTTCATAAGGGACGCGCAGTTTGGTAAGAATCACCTATAGAAACCTACTAGTCCGTTAAACGTGCGTAATTTCTTGATTGTGGTCGCTTTGAGGTAGTCCAGAATGGCCGCCGCTTTGCTTTTCGTAGTATGCACGAGGGAATTTAGAGAATCAGTTCTGATTTGGCATTTCTGAATGTTTGCAGTAATGCCGTGCTTTTGTAATCGTTCAAATAAAAGTTTCAGATATTGGTGTTGACACTCTCTGTTCGGACTTGCAATCAAGCACCATGCATGTACTAAGTTGAGACCTCAAAAATGTCATTGATGAACCTTTGGAAGGTTTGTGCAGCATCTCCTAACCTGAAAGACATACGCAAGAACTCGTATAGACCGAAAGTATAGATGTTAGCGGTTTTCGAAATGTCATCAGGAGCCTTGAGACTGTGGTAATATGGTTTATCCAAGTTAATTCTCAAAAAATAGTTGTACCTTTTTAAAGTATCTGTAAACTCGTGAATGTTAAGCAACAGGGAACGATCAGGATTGGTTTTCTCATTCAGTTGAAGATAGTCACCAGTTGGACGCCAATTGTCGCTGTCCTTTCTAGGGACCATATGTGAGGGAGATGCCCATAGGCTGCTTGATGATCGAGTGATTCCTCAATCTATCATGTGATCGAATTCGTTTTTAACCAACCCCAGATTTTCGGGGGCTAGGCGTATCATTTTTGAGAATACAGGTGGTCCTATAATCGTGACGGGATGTGTGACATTGTTAGTTACACACGACAATGCCGGTTTCTGTTGATATATCCCAGAGTACTTATCGAGTGATTGTTACGCAAACAGATAAATTAGTGTTTCCGTCTACTAGGCTCCGTTTGCGCGTATCGATGAGTAGATTGTGGTGTTGTAGTAGGTCTATATCAATGATTAGCACAGAAGCATCTGCAACAACGAAAATCCAGTGAATGATGTTACGAGAGAACTTAAGACATTTAACTGGTTTCACTGTGTTTTTGGGTGTATTTGTTTTACTTACTGACCAGCAAACATTGATGGTGAAGGCGATAACTTCAATCCACCCGT